CATGTCGCAACAGTTTTAAACTTTTGAATGTTCATCGAGTTGTCGATCATGTTAGGACATGGGGTCTTTGCTTTTTAATTATGGAGAGTTCTGTGAATGTCAATTAAGCCATTTTCTCTATAATAAGGTTCATATTTTGATTAAGTTTTAGTAGATTCCGATTTTTCCAATGATAATCCCTCTTCGACGGATTGGAAAAAGCTGGAGGTTCTGCGCAAACCCACCACACGTCGGGTCATGCCTTTATAATATAAAAAATATTTACACATGAACAGTGGCGTATTAGTGTATTGAAAATGGAGAGCTGATAGGGAAGAGGAGGGGTGAGGTTAAAAATGATTTGGGAGAGCTTGATGATAAAGTGAAGGAGAACTAGGTAGCAAAACAGGTGGTATGTGACCTTTAACTAATAGTGACTGGGGTGGTGGGCGCCGCTCCTAGATACGGCACTATACATGAGAGTTGAAACTGCGCAACGTGATATCCACTGAGGTAGCCTAAACCGAAACTGTCTATATTGGTAAATGACCTTCCACCTGTCAAAAAAAAACACTAAAGTGTATTTTTCAGTTTTAGTTTTTATATAAGTTTCCTCATTTTGAGTTGAATGAATGCTGACTGATTGGTCTTGATTTTTCGGTCACAAATTTCTAATAGCGCATTTCCTTCCTAGTTTTTGTAATGGAACCAGTATTGTTAACCACTACCGTATTCAATTCTTCTGAGCTGGATATTTGCCAATTTCAGCCATGTTTAAAACGATTTGCTACTTGAAAATTAAGTAATCACTGATTCCCCTTGACTTAACTGAGTTGTTTTATTGTTTCTTTTCCTTAATAATGTTGTTGATAGCATAATACACACTCCAAGTATCGAAATTCACGCCACCGTCGTGTCGGGTTGTTGATAGCATTTTAACAGTTGTTTATTTTTACGTCATCACATTTCTTAAGATTTTGCTTCACATGCTTAGCTATTTTGGGTGGGGGTGGTAGGGTGTTGTAATTAATTTTTGTCAAAATCAAAGAGTTTATGTCAGACTTTTTTTGGAGGGTATTTTGCTTCTATTCTTAAAAAGGATCAATAGTACTTGTAGGCGTCTCATGGTTTTCAAAATAGAATGTGTTTGAGAATGTACGATCGCTAAACCATTTTACAAGCTTCAGATGTTCCTCTAGATGTGATCATTAATTTACCATATGTTGTCTACATCTTCATAAAAGCTTGTCTCATTTCTGGATGGAAGATAGGCTAGGCCTACACATACTTAAGTAGGCCCATATAAAACCCTATGGTATCAGGCCCGTAGCCGGTTCTTCCAAGAGGGGGTTTTCTGGGCGTGAGATCCACAGTCGAAGCCCCGGTGGGGTTGGCAAAACCCTCAAAGCAAAAGGATTTTTGTGCTGTATGGGTCTAAATAATGCTATAAAAGCAGATATGTGTAAAAATGTCTGTGTCTGGGTGGGTCTGCAGTGCATTAGTTGGGTTGGGAGACTTACTTGGGAAATTTAAAGAGGGGTTTCGCCAGAAATGAGGGGGTTTGCTAGAAAAGAGGGGTTCTCCCGAACCATAAAAAACCCCCATGGATACGGGCCCTGAGTATACTTTTGTACATTAAAACTTTGGATCGGATTTGATTGGATGTGTTGGTGTAGTATACACGGATGCACAATTTCTTATCTAAACAGTAAATAAAAAAGATGTTTTTTGTTTCTTGCAGACTTTTCCACGACAAGCCTATCGTAAGAGCACCGGCACCGCTTGATTTTGAAGTTGAACCCAACTTGATTGGTAAGCCACAGAAATTCCACAAACCTGCTGTGAACATTTCTGATCGTCTACCAGCTGTAGAAGAACGTCGAGTGGAGGATTACCCAGAAGAAGTTGACAGAGAAGAGCTTGAAGAATTGGCTAGGATATTCCGGTGGACGTCTACCACCAGAGCTGCCACTGAGGAAGCCTGTTTACCTGTCATTGAGGTAAATATCTATGCGTTGCCTATCATTTGTATTTACTAGGCCTATACTTTGATAATTCCCATGATTGCGAATAAGCGGCACTGTCAGCACCCATCGGTGTGAAGACCGGGTGGGATAGGTTAAGCGCCTCTGAGATTTCAACAAGGACTTTAAGAGTATCTGAGGCCAGTTGTGGTTTACAAATTTAGCAAGTTCTATTGAGAATTACCGTTTAGTTCAACACCCAGGGAACCGTAGGATCAGAGTTGTTATATTGATTATAAACAACTCCCTGATACGATAAATATCCGAAAGTGCGTTCTCGTAACTTGCTTCCTCTTTTTCCGTCAGAATGTTAAGGCCCAAGGTTAATCATTCTGTAAGCGACTCTGCTGCGTTGTTGTCACTTTATTTTGTGTGATCCCCGCTGATTTTCAAAGTGCATATCTTGTGTTTTAATAACTTAAATTTGATTTTTTTTCCCGAACACTGCGTCATGTTATTATTTTGTCTCAGAAACCACTTCTACGCCAAACATTAGAAGTAAACGCCGACTTGGCAATGAACAAACCGAAGCGATACGAATCTACGCCACGACTTTGGCAGCGCGTTGCGCCACGTTGGGAACAAACGCAGGAGAGATCGGAAGTACCGTGCATATCGACACGAAAAATGTGGACTACGAGCACCGATTCAAATCCAGAAAACACGTACGTTAATCATAGTGAATATATGTAATATATAATAATAATTATAATATAATAATAATAATAATGATAATATAATAATAATAATAATTATAATAATAGTTATTATTATTATTATTATTATTATTATTATTATTATTATTATTATTATTATTATTATTATTATTATTATTATTATTACTATTTAGTTTATATCATTAGTATTTTTGGCTTTTCCTGCGTTCTGATTTTCTTTTTTTCTTCTATCCCGTTTTTCTATGTTTTTGCATGGGTTTTTTTTAATTTTTTTTTTGTAAGGCACATTGGTCACTATCTGTGCTTGGATCTTCAACCGCCAAGCAACGACCATATCGAAGATACATATCAAATATGACGTCATTTTAAATATTTTGAATATTAATTAGCTGGAATTAAACTTTCATGTTTACGCAATTTGCGTTTTCTAAAGTGTTTCAAACTATTATTATTATTATCATTTATGTTTACTTCAACCAGAATTAAACGGTATATTATATTGTTTTAATTATAAAAAAAGGCCAAAGAAATACAGCAGTAAGGTAACCATCAGCGAGGAAACATATCGTCTTGCCAAAGAGAATAAATTGACATCAACCTTGTGAGTACGAAATTTCCATGAATCTATCAAATTAGTTGACACAGAAGGACATGCTTTGTAAGTGGCCATGAGCCCTGAGTCATGTATATACTCATGCAGATGGTACTTTCGTTAGATCAAGGACTTCTTTTATCGGAACGATTCGAAACCTGGGACCGCCGAGACATTCTGTTGCTCCCCATTCCCTGCATATCTCTATTGATTTTGACTTTAAAAAAACTACCCGCCCTGATTATTCAAACAAATATACAGATAGCAGAAAATATTCTACTTTCTTATACTTTCTTATTAATTTAAAATGGGTCTATTCAATATATTTTTATAATAGTGTTCGTCAGGCACCGGGTTATGCAGGCTTTGTGCCCCGTACACCACTGGAGATTCCGATGGCAAGGGCCAAAACACCAGCCTACAAACCATGCAGTACTATGAGAAATTCATTCAGGTACCGTACGCCTTCGTGCATGCTTACTCAACATTACATTTCCACAATCTCATTTATGGAAATGCATTGATGATGTGTTAAAAATCACACTGGAGATGATGTGTTTGAGCATACATGGCGACAGCAAGGGTGGTGGCGATGACAACAATGACGATGTCTTGAGCTGCAGTCATTAATTGTAGAATATAAGTCAGCATTGGCTAACCTTGTGTGAATATGAATATGATTTAACTGTAATCAAAGTTTGGTTGCGTTTCTCATGATAAAAAAATGATGATTATGGCGATGCTAATCTTGATCATAATGACGATTACGAACGAAGAAAGTGATGATGATGATGGTATGACGATGATGACTGATGCTGATTATGAGAAAAACGATCATGACTGATGAGGATATGATAATGATGATGATGATCAGGGGCGGATTTAGGGGGCGGCCTTTTGGGAGGTAAAAAAAAGGGGGAAAAAGAAAAAAAAGGAAGAAAAAGAAAATAATGATAGCCCAGAACGCCTCAAATGTTATTTTCGGGCGTCTAGAGCACAAGAATTTCGCGGTGGCATGCCCCCGGACGCCCTAGGACAGTGTTTTCTCGATCGGCCCATCTCTGGATTCACCCCTGATGATGATGATGATGATGGTGGTGGTCATAATGACGGTTCAAGTAGATGAGGGTTTGGTAAAAATTGAACGTAACATCACTGTCAGCAATCCTATTGTGATGTTTTCTTTTTGGTTTTTTTTTTTTTTTTCAGACCATTCCCAGCGGAAACACTGTGCCGTTTACTATACTACAGGAGAGGACCTTTGTCGAAAACAGTGACGTTAACATATCCATTTAACCCATTCAGTAAAGTTGAACAACGCGCCTTTTTGCGGAACCACGTAGGCCTAGAAAGGACATGGTAGGCTTTTCAGGAGGGAAAACTTAACGTGAACTTTAAATAATAAAAATAACTCACTATTACGGTATCAATCTTAAGCTGTTTATGAATGGGTTGCGGTAAAGAATTGTCTTTCAGACTGGGCTAAATGCCGCCTGAAGAAAAAGTTTTGTAAGAGGACATGATCACGAGAACATTAAAATATTCAATGTTAATATCGTGTTATATTTTCAACATAATTTCGATGTTTTATGGATCTATATATATGGATATTACTATAAGGAAGTTATCCCCAAGATCGGTATATGATATATTTGATTTTTCCGGAATGATCATACATATCATATAGGAAGGTAGTATGTATCGATAACTATGCCAGTTAAAAATATTGGATACACGCATGAGTAAACAATGTCGAATATGTAAATAAAACGAAGTCTTTTGATAAATATTGGAAAACAGTGAACTACGCTTGTGTTGGCTGCTGGCCAAATATTGCTTCCATGTTTCATGCATTAAGTACGCCATATGGGGTTCTACTCTGATTTTCAATTGTACGCTATTGTTTGTCCTGATTTTAGAATATATCCCAGTCATGCATAAACCATGCCATGGCGTAAAAACATTTTTTAACGCAGTTTTGTTCGTGGTGCCCAGAAGGGCGTTGATGGTGGGGGAAATCACCCCGTCTGACATGTACCCCAACCCCTGGCGTCGTCCATTTCGTCTTAGGCCTAACTTTGTACCCTTGTAAACATTGTATTATCTAACCATCTCTGTTGACGCATGTTATTTCATTGAGTTAATTCAACGAGGAAATATTTTTATTACCAATTTAACAGATGCATTATTATGTGACTTTTCACATCATTTAATGTAACAATAAAATACAGGCATAAAATAAAACAATTAAAATTATATATTTAACTTGATTATTAACAAGGTTAACTAGGTTACGTAGGTTATAATTAGCCTTTAAAAATGAGAAATCACGAACTCATAAGAAATTATTATAATTTCAGTGCTGTTTATATCATATAGGATAAAGCCCCTTTTTCCGCGTAGTATAAACCGTATCAAGTCTAAAACTTTGGAGGCCTCTTTCACGGTTGAACGACATTACAATTAGTATTGTTATTAACTTCCCGATAGGCCTACCCTATTATGTTAATAATTTTCTCCCTTTGGAAGGTGTGTAAAATAAGAACAAGAAAATGGAGTAATCAAGTCTATTTATAGGCCTATAATAGTTCAATACAATTATGATAAGCCGGGCTTTCACCATACAGTAATCTCTCTTCGTCAGCAATACTCATGTTGCATGGCATATGATCAAATTAATATGGAATAAAGTGGTCTCTGCGCTGAATCTACAACAGTTGTATACTTCCTGTACTAGTTAATTACACTCTTAATGTAAGTAAAGTCTCGTTTGTTATGTGGTAGAAAAAGGCCTATATAGAAATAGAGCTTGATCATAAAATACGGATTTGTCGAAGTTCGTAATCCTATTTCATAACAACTCTATTGAGTCAATTTTATAAATGAAAATCTACCCGCATAATAATATTTATTGCTTGTAACAATAGGCCTATTCTGTATGATTTCATGGTGGATCGGCTAGAGTACGTGGGTGTTGTCAACATATGGTGACTTCATCACTCAGCTTCATATAATATAGGCCTATATATTATGTTGTATTGGTCTAGGTCTATGTAGTCCTATAGGATATTTATATATGTAATATATATATGTATATATATGATATCTGTCTCTTATACACATCAATATCGTGTTATAT